TCCCAGGTTCAAGCAATCCTTCTGCCTCAGCCTCCCAAGTAGCTGAGATTACAGATACAAGCCACCAGGCCTGGCTAATTTTTGTATTCTTAGCAGAGACAGGGTTTGCCATGTTGGCCAGGCTGGTCTTGAACTCCTGACCTCAAGTGATCTGGCTGCCTCGGCCTCCCAAAGTGCTGGGATTACAGGCGTGAACCACAGCACCTAGCCACCTCTTTTCCTTTGAAAAACTGTAACTGTTGCCAATCAGGATGTATATTCAGGGCAACTTGAATCTCTGCTCCCAGGTTGCAATCCTCAAGCTTGGCCCAAATAAATTCTCTACTTATGTTAATTTTGCCTCAGCAAAATTTCTTTTTGGTCAACATTCAGATGTGCGTTTGGCATTTCCATTTGACAAACTGGAGACTGTAGAGGCCGAAAGAAAACTTCCCCTCTGCTCTATAAAGATTTACAGAAAATCAACTGAAAAAAGCCAGATTAATAAGACAAAAGGTATACAGATTTATTCACACACAATGAGAACCAGAGTGATGACCCCAACCTCCCAATGGGATTCAGAAGCTTATATACCATCTTGAGATTTCAGAAAGAACGGGGGCTCAAAGCATGGCCATAAACAGGTTATGGTGGAAAATCAGGTTACAGTAGCAAGACCGGTTAAGGGAGGGAGAGGAGAGGAGGCCTGGCTAGCAAAGGTGGCCTTGTTCTATAGATGAAACCTCACAGGTAGCAGCCCTCAGAGAGAATAGATGGCGAATGTTCCCTTCAGGCCTTTAAAGGTGTCAGACTCTGTTACTCTTCTACATCAGGCAAGGGAAGGCCTCAGAGAAGGCCTAGCCTCATCAGTGTAGATTCTCTCCACAGATGCAAATCTCCCCGACAAAAGACAGCTTTTTAGCTATTCCATTTCCAGTCCTTCTGAGTAACTGTCTTCAGCCATGTCAAGGAAATACTTTTTGGTTTGTTTTGAGGCAGGGTCTTACTTTGTTGCCCAGGCTGGACTGCACTGGTGCAATCTCAGCTCACTGCAACCTCTGTCTCCTGGGTTCAAGCGATTCTCCTGCCTCAGCCTCCTGTGTAGCTGGGATTACAAGTGTGCACCATAATGCCTGGCTAATTTTTGTATTTTGGGGAGAGACGGGGTCTCATCATGTTGACCAGGATGGTCTTGAACTCCTGACCTCGGGTATCTGCCCACTACGGCCTCCCAGAGTGCTGGGATTATAGGTGTGGGCTATGGAGCCAGGTCATGGAAATACATTTTGGGGTGAAATATTTTGGTTTTCTTCAGTCCCCACTTTGAGACTTTCCTTTCAGAAAGTTTCCCATAGGAAAAGGAAAGTTGATAGCTTTGAAGAAATTTGAGTTAGAGATTGTTAGATGACAGATAGGCAAAGGTGGCGAAAAACAAATCGGGATAAGCAGAAAAGGACAAATTTAAATGTCATCCCAGCAGGGCACCGTGGCTTATAGCTGTAATCTCAGCACTTTGGGAGGCTGAAGCAGGAGGATCACTTGAGCCCAGGTGTTCAGACCAGCCTGGTCAATGCAAGGAGACCCTATTGCTACAAAAAATAAAAAAATTAACCAGGCATGGTAGTATGTGCCTGTGGTCCTACCTACCTGGGAGGCTGATGCAGAAGGATGACCTGGGCCCGGGAAGTCAAGGCTGCAGAGAGCTGTGATCATACCACTTCCTGGGTAACTTAGTGAGACCTTGTCTCTAAAAAAAAAAAAGATGTGGCCGGGCGCGGTGGCTCAAGCCTGTAATCCCAGCACTTTGGGAGGCCAAGGCGGGTGGATCACAAGGTCGAGAGATCGAGACCATCCTGGTCAACATGGTGAAACCCCGCCTCTACTAAAAATACAAAAAAATTAGCTGGGCATGGTGGCACGTGCCTGTAATCCCAGCTACTCAGGAGGCTGAGGCAGAAGAATTGCCTGAGCCCAGGAGGCGGAGGTTGCGGTGAGCCGAGATCGCGCCATTGCACTCCAGCCTGGGTAACAAGAGCGAAACTCCGTCTCAAAAAAAAAAAAAAAAAAAAAAAAAGATGTAACATGCTGTATTTTCTTGAATGAGTCTCTTGGTCCTGAGACTAGATCAGCTCCGTTAAACAGCTAAACAGCTGTGTCCCATTCCAAACTGTGGCACTGCAGACGGGCTGGAACTTTGTATATAATTCACACAAACAGATCTTTAACAAGAGACAACTCTATGGAAACAGAAGGAAAAAAAAAGGTGAATATATGGAATCATCCATAGACTAGCTTTTCCAGCTTGCCTCAATCCGAAGCATCTGGAGCATCTTCAGATTGCAATGGCAATTTGACAGATTTTCCTGGATCATAGTTCTAATGGGGTGTTCAAGTGAACTTTCTAAGTAGTCCATATATCAAAAGGAACAAAGGCTGTTTATATATAAGTTCCTGTGATGATTTCTCCTTAAGGTTTTAAGTCCTCTAGCTTCAGTTGCAGGGCTTCAAGAAAAGCTGTTTTAATTTCCGATGATTTTAAATCAGAAAAATGGGAGAAAAATTTGAAAGTATTAGTTTAGAGACTTGGAGCTAGGAAAGAATGCAGATTCAGTCCAAACTATAGGCAAATGATAACAACTCAAAAACAACAGTCAGTCCAGAATCCAATAACAGGTGTACTAGAATTTTCTTCTAAAACACAAATTTTTCTCCCTCCAGTCCCCCTTTTCTACAAGATAAATCATAGTAAGACCAACAGATTTGCAAAATAAGTTTTAGTCTTATTATTATAATTGGCCTGATTATTTGCATAAAGTACAGTAAGAATAGTGACTGGCCATACAGGATCTTTTAAAGTTGGCTTTGCCAGAACTTTTTCATAAGGAATCTCAGTTTATTGTGGCACTGTTCACAATAGCAAAGACTTGGAACCAACCCAAATGCCCATCAATGATAGACTGGATAAAGAAAATGAAATGTGGCACATATACACCATGGAATACTATGCACCCATAAAAAGGATGAGTTCATTTCCTTTTCAGGGACATGGATGAAACTGGAAACCACCATCATTCTCAGCAAACTGCTACAAGAATAGAAAAACCAAACACCACATGTTCTCACTCACAAGTTGGTGTTGAACAATGAGAACACATGGACACAGGGAGGGGAACATCACACACCAGGGCCTGAGCAGTGGGGTGCTAGGGGAGGAATAGCAGAGGGTGGGGGGACTGGGGAAGGATAGCATTAGGAGAAATACCTAATGTAGATGACAGGGAAATGGATGCAGCAAACCACCACCATGGCACATGTATACCTATGTAGCAAACCTGCATGATCTGCACATGTATCCCAGAACTTAAAGTATAATAAATTTTTTAAAAAAAGGAATCTTGCTGGGCGCGGTGGCTCAAGCCTGTAATCCCAGCACTTTGGGAGGCTGAGGCGGGTGGATCACGAGGTCAAGAGATCGAGACCATCCTGGTCAACATGGTGAAACCCCGTCTCTACTAAAGATACAAAAAAATTAGCTGGGCATGGTGGCACGTGCCTGTAATCCCAGCTACTCAGGAGGCTGAGGCAGGAGAATTGCTTGAACCCAGGAGGCAGAGGTTGCGGTGAGCCGAGACCATGCCATTGCACTCCAGCCTGGGTAACAAGAGCGAAACTCCGTCTCAAAAAAAAAAAAAGGAATCTCAGGCTGGGCGCGGTGGCTCAAGCCTGTAATCCCAGCACTTTGGGAGGCCGAGGCGGGTGGATCACGAGCTCAAGAGATCGAGACCATCCTGGTCAACATGGTGGAACCCCGTCTCTACTAAAAATACAAAAATTAGCTGGGCATGGTGGCGCGTGCCTGTAATCCCAGCTACTCAGGAGGCTGAGGCAGGAAAACTGCTTGAATCCAGGAGGCGGAGGTTGCAGTAAGCCAAGATAGCACCCCTGCACTCCAGCCTGGGCAACAGAGTGAGATTCCATCTCAAATAATAATTATAATAATTTTAGTGCTGTGTCAGTTCAGTCCATGTGATTAACTCTTGTTCTGCTTGATGCTAGGTTGTCAATCTTCATGAATCCATCAGTGTTTGTGTGTTTGTTTTTTTTTTTTTTTTTTTGAGACGGAGTTTCACTCTTGTTACCCAGGCTGGAGTGTGTAATGGCACGATCTCGGCTCACCGCAACCTCCGCCTCCTGGGTTCAGGCAATTCTCCTGCCTCAGCCTCCTGAGTAGCTGGGATTACAGGCACGAGCCACCATGCCCAGCTAATTTTTTGTATTTTTAGTTGAGATGGGGTTTCACCATGTTGACCAGGATGGTCTCGATCTCTCGACCTCGTGATCCACCCGCCTCGGCCTCCCAAAGTGCTGGGATTACAGGCTTGAGCCACCGCGCCCGGCTGTGTGTGTTTTTATTAGAGTCCTGGAAAGTTTTTTTTACTTAGTCCAATGGTATGATCTCCAAAGTTACCAGAAACCTGTATTCAAAAGTACTTGTCAGGGTACTTTACATGACTTTCCTTGAGGGAGAAGCAAGTCTTGAACTGTAGCTAATTACAAGCTGCTTTTTAAAAAGAATCAAAATAAAACAATATTTGACTGTGGGTGACAGATGACTTGGAATAATGATAGTTAAAGATGCAACTGACAAGGAAATTTGTTTTTTTGTGTGACATACAACAATTTAACATAATACTTATGACTTATAACATAGCAAGATATAGCAGAATTTTAGGAATTTCATAACATTTTGGAACACATTAATAACACCTTTATTCAAATAGAACTCAAAGAAAGTTGCCAGGTGCGTTGGTTCACGCCTGTCATCCCAGCATTTCAGGAGGCCGAGGCAGGCAGAGCACCTGAGGTCAGGAGCTCGAGGCCAGCCTGACCAACATGGAGAAACATCGTCTCTACTAAAAATGCAAAAAATAAGCCAGGCATGGTGGCACATACCTGTAATCCCAGCTACTTAGGAGGCTGAGGCAGGAGAATCACTTGAACCCAGGAGGCAGAGGTTGCAGTAAGCAGATATGACACCATTGTACTCCAACCTGGAAAATTAAACATTATTTCTTATTTGACCATGCTTTCTGTATAATGTTTACATACCAAATAAAACTAATGTGCATGCCTGTAATCCCAGCTACTCAGGAGGCTGAGGAAGGAGCATCGCTTGAACCCAGAAGGTAGAGGTCGTGGTGAGCCAAGATCACGCCATTGCACTCCAGCCCGAACAACAAGAGCAAAACTCCATCTCAAAAAAAAAAAAATTCCTTTCAAATATCTTATGATCATATTTTAGCTGAGACAAACAGCTGATATCCATGGCTTTGAGCTTTTTTTTTTTTAACCAAAGGTACTTTCCCAATTGACTCACCAAAACCAATAAGCCTTAACCAAAATTACAGACTTAACAAGGACACATAGGCATCTTCAAAGAGGCACACAGCAGTCCTTACAACACCCAGAACCACCGCAAAGACAGTTAAAAGAAACCAAAGCTGTCCATGGAAGGGGGAAGGATTAATAACAAATGAGTACCCCAGAAAGTCAAAAGTCGGCTGGGTGCGGTGGCTCACACCTGTAATCCCAGCACTTTGGGAGGTGAAGGCAAGCAGATCATGAGGTCAGGAGTTCGAGACCAGCCTGGTCAACATGGTGAAACTCCGTCTCTACTAAAAATACAAGAAAAAAAAAAATTAGCTGGGCATAGTTGCGCATGCCTGTAATCCCAGCTACTCTGGAGGCTGAGGCAGGACAACTGCTTAAATCCAGGAGACAGAGGTTGCAGTGAGCCAAGATCATGCCACTGCACTCCGGCCTGGTGACAGAACAAGACTCCATCTTGGGGGGGCGGGGGGGGAAAGTCAAAAGTCACACAAATATCAAACCAAAAGGGACTGGTTCCTCTATTGAGAATTGAACTCAGGCCATGGTAGTGAAACTACAGAATTTTAAGTAGTTTCCAAGATGGAGCAGTCTTCATTGTGAATCCTGCAAGGATCCAAAGCAAGCGGTTTGAGCATACAAAGGATTTTAACTTGTTATAAGTCAGATTTTTGCTTTTTAATTTTGTGAAGAGGGTTTTTAAGGCTAGCCACAACATTATTATGTCTTTCCTTCAACTTTCCCACAAATACAAATAAGGCATTTGTTTAAAATAAGAGACCTCTAAAATATATATATATTTTTAAATTTAGGGATCTAATTTAAAGGATTCATCTTTTGGCTATTGACAATCAGAATTTCCAATGATGTATTTATTCTGGTAGCAACTCAATCCAGTAAGCTTCTTCATGGAAAGCTCAAAAGGCAATTTCCCAGATTTAGAGAGGACACAAAAGAGGAAGATCCAATGATGCCCCCAAAATTAATTCACTTCCAGGAATACGCAAAGATAGCAAAAGACTTGCTGCCAGACAGTTAAGGATGGTGTTTATATATACAGTGCCTCCAGTAACCCACAGATTTGTACGGGGCTGCCAGTCACAGACTCATTAACCTGTGACACAGGGTAGTCCCTGCTGGCACTGGACTTTCTGAGGACTGACCACGAAACAAGGATTGAGACAACAATAGCCCTTTATCGATGGGACTGAGGAGAGTGAAAATCACCTGGTGACCATTTAACAGGCCCCAGAGACAAAAACTCCTTATCTGAGAAATTTAGGAGGGAGCAAAGACCACCTGGCAGCCATTAAACAGGCATCAGAGGCAAAACTCCTTATCTGGGGAAAATCAGAGGTGTCTAGACTTCCCTGTTATCTAAAGCAAGCATCTGGTTCCAGATTTCTTTTCCCCAAAAAAATTTGTAACTAGAATTTCTATACATCTCTGGAATGCCGTGCAGAAACTCATTGTGCAACTCTTGCTGACATTAAGGCAACAAAATTACTACAAATGTAATCGTTTATCTACATGGCTAATATGGTCCAAATTACTGTTATGCCCCCACTTTAAGGTCTACAAATATCCCTAAGTAAAAATCCACCCAGCACGCTCAGTCCTCTCAATGAGGCACCCCACTGCACTCTTCTATAGCGTTCTTGCTAATGAACTTACAAACTTTTGTTGTCCATCTCCCACCCCCCAACCCCCATCCCACCCCCGCAAATGGAGTTTCACTCTTGTTGCCCAGGCTGGAGTGCAATGGCACAATCTCAGCTCACTGCAACCTTTGCTTCCCAGGTTCAAACGATTCTCCTGCCTCAGCCTCCCAAGTAGCTAGGATTATAGTCTCCCGCCACCATGCCCAGCTAATTTTTTTTTTTTTTTTTTTTGTATTTTTAGTAGAGATGGGGTTTCATCATGTTGGCCAAGCTGGTCTTGAACTCCTGACCTCAGGTGATCCACCCGCCTCAGACTCCCAAACTGCTGGGATTACAGGTGTGAGCCACTGTGCCTAGCAAACTTCTTTTTTTTTTTTTTTCTTTTTTCGAGACAGAGTCTTGCTCTGTCTCAGTTCACTGCACCCTCCACCTCCCAAGTTCAAGCGATTCTCCTGCCTCAGCCTCCTGAGTAGCTGGGACCACAGGCAAGTGCCACCACACCTGTCTAATTTTTATATTTCAGTAGAGATAGGGTTTCTCCATGTTGGCCAGGCTGGTCTCAAACTCCTGACCTCAGGTGATCCACCCACCTTGGCCTCCCAAAGTGCTGGGGATTACTCGCAAGAGCCACGATGCCCAGCCAAACTTTCCTTTTTCAAACCTATACTGTTGTCAGTAAATTTTTTTTTTGAGATGGAGTTTCACTTTTGTTACCCAGGCTGGAGTGCAATAGCGTGATCTTGGCTCACCGCAACCTCCGCCTCCTGGGTTCAGGCAATTCTCCTGCCTCAGCCTCCTGAGTAGCTGAGATTACAGGCACGCATCACCATGCCCAGCTACTTTTTTGTATTTTTAGTAGAGACAGGGTTTCACCATGTTGACCAGGATGGTCTCGATCTTTTGACCTCCTGATCCACCCGCCTCGGCCTCCCAAAGTGCTGGGATTACAGGCTTGAGCCACCGCGCCCGGCCTGACAGTAAACTTTTTACCAACCCAAAAGTTGACCACTTCCTAATGCAAGGGCTCTGGCAGCTCACCTGGCAGGGACTTCTTAAGACAAACTGAGAGCTTAACACATTCCAAACAAAAACTGTGCTGCTTAAAATCTTACCTGTCTTGGGTTCCCAACCATTTTCAGAGTGACCACAGGATGTGACCTGCCAATCACTACCTCTGAATAGCAGAGACCAAGAGAGTGTTCCTGAGGTAGGTGGCAGGACTCGACTCCAGCGGTGGAGCTTGGACAGTTGACCAGGTTGAGGACTAAAACAGGGTTGGGGCAAAAGCAGGTTTCAATCAGATATGCCCGCCACTGTGCCATGTCAGCTTACCATTGCCATGGTAACACCCAGGAGTTACCACCCCTTTCCATGGCAATGACCCCATGATTACTACTCCTTCTCTAGAAATTTCTGCATAAACCACCCTTTAATCTTCATGCAATCAAAAGTGGGTATAAATGTGACTGCAAAACTGCCCTAAGCTGTTACTCTCCGCCTACGGAGTAGCCCTGCTCTGCAGGAGCAATCACAGAGCTGTAATGCCACCTGTTCAATAAAGCTGTTTTCTTCTACCTCCGGCTTGTCTTTGAATTCTTTCCTGGGCGAAGCCAAGAACCCTCCCTGGCTAAGCTCCACTTTGGGGTTTGCCTGCCCTGCATCACTCCCACTTGGTCACAACTCAAGCTTTCAAGGAGGGAGAATCTCAACCAGTTTTTATTTCAGGGACCCACAGCAAAGTATGTCTAACTAGATGCATCTGATCAGAGCTGCAAAACTGACTAGCCTGCAGTTTTGCAGGGCCAGCTCGAACCCTGGGCTTGAGGGGTTTTAGGTCTGTATTCTACCCTAAGACATCCCTCTTTATGAGAGAATAACACAGAAAGACAAGGATGAAGGATAACTATTTCTGTGGAAAAAGCGATCAAACAATATGAATACATTTCTCTCATTAAGACTTTGAAGAGGAGCTGGGCACGGTGGCTCGTGCCTGTAATCCCAGCACTTCAGGAGGCCAAGGTGGGCGGGTCACCTGAGGTCTGGAGTTTGAGACCAGCCTGACCAACATGCAGAAACCCTGTCTCTACTAAAAATACTAAAAAATGAGCCAGGCATGGTGGTACCTGCCTTTAATCCAAGCTACTTGGGAGGCTGAGGCAGAATTGCTTGAACCTGGGAGGAGGAGGTTGCAGTGAGCCAAGATCACGCCATTACACTCCAGTCTGGGCAACAAGAGTAAAACTCCATCTTAAAAAAAAAAAAAAAAAAAGACTTAGAAAAGGAAAACAAGATAAACAGTGATTTTTACCATTGGTTTGACAAGATTCCACAGAGAGGCCAGGAGCCTAGCTGCTAAAACTTTCTTACCCTTCTGTCAGCTTGTCGGATCCTGGGTTCCCTTGACAGAGGCTCCCAGTAGAGTGACTTTAGTTATCCTACTGACTACTTCAAAACTGTAGGAGCCTAGAGAAAACCGTCTGCACTTGGAGAGTTCATAGAAAATCAACTGAAAAAAGCCAGATTAATAAGACAAAAGGTATACAGATTTATTCACACACACAGTGAGAACCAGAGTGATGACCCCAACCTCCCAATGAGATTCAGAAGCTTATATACCATCTTGAGATTTCAGAAAGAACGGGGGCTCAAAGCATGGCCATAAACAGGTTATGGTGGAAAATCAGGTTACAGCAGCAAGACTGGTTACAGGAGGGAGAGGAGAGGAGGCCTGGCTAGCAAAGGTGGTCTTGTTCTATAGATGAAACCCCACAGGTAGCAGCCCTCGGAGAGAATAGATGGTGAATGTTCCCTTCAGGCCTTTAAAGGTGTTAGACTCTGTTACTCTTCCTACATCAGGCAAGGCCTGGCCACATCAATATAGATTTCTCGCCACAGATGCAAATCTCCCCGACAAAAGACAGCGTTTTAGTTATTCTATTTCCAGTCCTTCTGAGTAACTGTCTTCAGCCATGTCAAGAAGATATATTTTAAAGTGATATATTTTGGTTTCCTTCAAGATCAAAAAGGTTAAGTCCAAGGCTGTCCAATGAGGGAGCCAGGGCACAATCATGTTGCCTTCAGATGAGTTTTTTCCCAGCAGCGTAACCCTGAGACAGGCCAGACTGGACCCCAGACACACATTCCCCACCACAGCATGCCTCAACCACCATAAACACACACCACACACACACACACCACAGACACACCCTACCTTAAACACCAGACACACACACACACACACAACCACTACAAACACACGCATGCCACACCTAACACTACACAGACACCCCCCTCAAATAGCACCCAAATATACCTCTCAAACACCACATACACCCCCCACACACACCTCACACACACAAACCTCAAATATTATATACCCCTCAAACACCACACACCCCTCAAACACCACACCCCTCAAACGCCACACACGCCTCTCAAACGCCACACACACCTCAAACACCACACACCCCTCAAACACCACACCCCTCAAACACCACACACGCCTCTCAAACGCCACACACACCTCAAACACCACACCCCTCAAACGCCACACACACCTCAAACACCACACCCCTCAAACGCCACACACCCCTCAAACGCCACACACCCCTCAAACGCCACACACCTCTCAAACACCACACACACCTCAAACACCACACCCCTCAAACACCACACCCCTCAAACACCACACCCCTCAAACACCACACCCCTCAAACACCACACCCCTCAAACGCCACACACCCCTCAAACACCACACCCCTCAAACGCCACACACCCCTCAAACACCACACCCCTCAAACGCCACACACCCCTCAAACACCACACACCTCTCAAACGCCACACACACCTCAAACACCACACCCCTCAAACACCACACCCCTCAAACGCCAAACACGCCTCTCAAACGCCACACCCGCCCCTCAAACGCCACACCCCCCTCAAACGCCACATATACACCCCTCAAACGCCACACACCCCCCTCAAACGCCACACCCCCCTCAAACGCCACACACGCCCCTAAACGCCACACGCGCCCCTCAAACGCCACACACGCCCCTCAAACGCCACACCCCCTTCAAACGCCACACACGGCCCTCAAACGCCACACACACCCCTCAAACCGCCACACGACCCCCTCAAACGCCACACACCCCTCAAACGCCACACACACACGCACACAAGCCCCCGCACCCACACCGCAGCTCACATGCACACAGACACACCTATGCAGGAGAAAGGACGTCAAAGCTTTTGCTAGTCGGGGGACCCGCACGGTTTTCCTTGCGCTTTGCTCATTCACCGGGTGGCCATTTCTGTCCACGCTCAGGTCTCTCAAAGGGGGGCCCCCGAGTCTCCCAGGACCGCAGGTCTGGGGTGCGCTGCTCCTCCTCTGGAGAAGATCCGGACCGAGAGGCCGCCGGACACTGCGCAGCGCCGAGCCCAGCGCAGCCCGACGCCTCGGCCGGAGCCGACGGCGCAGAAGCGCCCGGAACCCGCTCAAGCACGCTGCAAGACCGCCTCAGGCGTAGACCGCGGACTCGAGCGCGCACGCGCGGCCACGCCCCTCGCCCCGGGCCGCCCCCGGCCCCGCCTCGCGAGAACCGCGGGTCACGTGGCGGGGCCGAGGCGGAAGCGCCGCAGTCCCGGACCCGGCCCCCGGGCTCGGAGCTGCGCTGGACCCGGCCCCCGGGCTCGGAGCTGCGCTGGACCCGGCCCCCGGGCTCGGAGCTGCGCTGGACCCGGCCCCCGGGCTCGGAGCTGCGCTGGACCCGGCCCGGACTCAGCTGCTCGGCGTCAGGTGACTCATGCCCCGACCCTCAGCCCGGACCACTGGCAGAAGACGATCGAATCTCCTCTCGAGAATCTGGAGGTGTCCCGGTCCCGGAGGACGGTCTTGGGGAGTTACGTCCCAGCCCACGGTCCCCTGGCACTGTCCGGCCCCGGTCCTCCGGAACTTGAGGAAGCGGCCATCAGGGTCGGGGAGTACTGGGGTCTGAGGCCCCAGGGGAGGGCAGTGCCTGGATCTGGGGTCTCAGAAAGAGCCTGCTGGAGCCAAGGGGCCCTCCCTCTCTTGGGACAGACCCTTCGGTCCCATGTTCATGGGGGCACCGCGGACCCTCCTCCTGGCCCTGGCTGCTGGCCTAGCCGCCGCCCGCCCGCCCAACATCGTGCTGATCTTTGCTGACGACCTCGGCTATGGGGATTTGGGCTGCTATGGGCACCCCAGCTCTACCACCCCCAACCTGGACCAGCTGGCAGCAGGGGGGCTGCGGTTCACGGACTTCTACGTGCCTGTATCTCTGTGCACACCCTCTCGGTAAGGAGGGGGCTGTGCCCCTTCCCCGCCCCTCCATCCCGTTCCTCCCAGATGTGCAATGGATTGCAGGAGGGAGGGAAAAACGTTTCTCTCTCTCTCTCTCTCTCTCTCTCTCTCTCTCTCTCTCTCCCTCTCCCTCTCCCCCTCTCCCCCTCTCCCCCTCTCCCCCTTTCCCCCTCTCTCGTCTCTCTGGGGAAGGCCACATTTCTGTCTAACTTGTCCTGCAGGGCCGCCCTCCTGACCGGCCGGCTTCCGGTTCGGATGGGCATGTACCCTGGAGTCCTGGTTCCCAGCTCCCGGGGGGGTCTGCCCCTGGAGGAGGTGACCCTGGCCGAGGTCCTGGCTGCCCAAGGCTACCTCACAGGAATGGCTGGCAAGTGGCACCTTGGGGTGGGGCCTGAGGGGGCTTTCCTGCCCCCGCATCAGGGCTTCCATCGATTTCTAGGCATTCCATACTCCCACGACCAGGTAGGAATCCCCAGGACCCTCAGCTACCCACCCACCTCCCAAAGTCCCCAGCCCTTCATGCTCCCTCCGCCGCATCTGCCAGCCTAGTCCTCACTGGAGGTGCCCCCCCCCCCCTTAGGGCCCCTGCCAGAACCTGACCTGCTTCCCTCCGGATACACCCTGTGATGGCGGCTGTGACCAGGGCCTGGTCCCCATCCCACTGTTGGCCAACCTGTCAGTAGAGGCACAGCCCCCCTGGCTGCCTGGACTAGAGGCCCGATACATTGCATTCGCCCATGACCTCATGGCTGACGCCCAGCGCCAGGATCGCCCCTTCTTCCTGTACTACGCCTCTCACGTAAGTGATCTTGGCCCCATGCCCCGGCTGCCCATGACCCCTACCCAGTGCTAACTCCAGTCTTTGCCCCCAGCATACCCACTACCCTCAGTTCAGTGGGCAGAGCTTTGCAGAGCGTTCAGGCCGAGGGCCATTTGGGGACTCACTGATGGAGCTGGATGCAGCTGTGGGGGCCCTGATGACAGCCATAGGGGACCTGGGACTGCTTGAAGAGACGCTGGTCATCTTCACGGCAGACAACGGGTATGCCAGCAGGGTGGTGGAGTGCTCCCACCTGTCACAGGCCAGGACCCCGGGTGCCTTGCAGTTCGAGAACATAGTGGGTAAGGTGGTGTCGGGAGATACTGGCCACATTGCTGGGACCGACAGTGCGTCAGGAGACACAAGTGCACAGAGAACTGGTTTTGGTAGGCCTGGGAGGCCCCAGGTTCATGCTGGGCACTTCCGGGCAAGTTTTGTGACTTAGAGATGTGGGGCCACTAGTCACCTTCGGTGGCTCAGAGGCTGTGGCTCCATGGCTCATGATCTCCTCCTGTGTCCAGACCTGAGACGATGCGAATGTCCCGAGGCGGCTGCTCTGGCCTCCTGAGGTGCGGAAAGGGGACGACCTACGAGGGGGGTGTCCGAGAGCCTGCCTTGGCCTTCTGGCCAGGTCACATCACTCCTGGTCAGTCCACAGGCCTTCTCCTTGGGAACCATGGCCCTACCATCCTAACCTTGATGGTGAACTGAGTGACCCAACAGCCTCCTGCCCCCAGGCGTGACCCACGAGCTGTCCAGCTCCCTGGACCTGCTGCCTACCCTGGCAGCCCTGGCTGGGGCCCCACTGCCCAATGTCACCTTGGATGGCTTTGACCTCAGCGACCTGCTGCTGGGCACAGGCAAGGTAAGACCAGTGACCCCTGATCCCAGCTCCTCGGCCCCTGTCCTGGGGTGAGTGTGGGCAGTGCCTGAGAGTCCGTGCCTCAGTACCTCCTGCATTAAGTGGCATCCAAGTGGTGGCACGTTTCAGGTTCTTGGGTGGGTGAGAAGTGGTCCACATCCAGGGCCTCACACCAGGTCTTGCAGCTCCGGGTATGTGTGATGCTCGGGGCCTGTCCCACCGCATGACCCCTGACTCTGTCCCCAGAGCCCTCGGCAGTCTCTCTTCTTCTACCCGTCCTACCCAGATGAGGTCCATGGGGTTTTTGCCGTGCGGAATGGAAAATACAAAGCTCATTTCTTCACCCAGGGTAAATCCCTCCCCATGGATCCCTTCCCCTGACCTGCAGACCCCTCTAAGGAGCCCCAGATCCCTGGCCCCTTCTCTCGCTCTTGCCTGTGCTCAGAATTGGCCCCCTCCCCAGGCTCTGCTCACAGTGAGACCACTCCAGACCCTGCCTGCCATGCCTCCAGCTCTCTGACAGCTCATGAGCCCCCGCTGCTCTACGACTTGTCTGAGGACCCTGGTGAAAACTACAACCTGCTGGGGGGTGTGGCCAAGGCCACCCCAGAGGTGCTGCAGGCCATGAAGCAGCTTCAGCTGCTCAAGGCCCAGTTAGATGCTTCTGTGACCTTCGGCCCCAGCCAGGTGGCCCGGGGTGAGGACCCCAACCTGCAAATCTGCTGCCAGCCCAGCTGTACTCCCCACCCAGCCTGCTGCCACTGCCCAGATCCCCATCGCTGAGGGCCCCTGGTCCCCATCCCACTGTTGGCCAACCTATCAGTGGAGGCACAGCCCCCCTGGCTGCCTGGACTAGAGGCCGGATACATTGCATTCGCCCATGTGATGGCTCATGACTGTGAGCCTGTGGGGGAGGTGCAGGTGTCTGGAGGTGTTTGTACCTGATAATGTAATAACAGCAATTGAGACTTGCAGGTGTGACAGTTCATCTAATCCTGTGGTAATGCTGTGATATCGGTGCTGTTCCCCTGTGGCACAAATGAGGAAACTGAGGTCCAGAGAGGTTCAAGACTTATCCAAGTCCAGCTAGATCGCTCAGCGAGAAAGAAGTTGGGCTGGGATTTGAACCCTGGTGTCATGGCTCTAGAAGCTGCCCTGGCACTTTGGCGATCTGCATGGGTCATTGTACACATGCACACATCAGCCATGAAAACATGGGTACATCTGTTCACGGGAGCAGCGCCACGTGCCTGTAAGTGCCAGGAATAGGGTGGGGAGGGTGTGAGGGTGCAGTGGCCAAAAGACTCAGAAGATGCAAAGTGCCTGAGAGAGAGACAGGATTTTCCCCAAGAAGAAGCGTTCTTAGAGGCGCACACACTAGACCTCCTTGGTTCTTACCAGAAACCTGTCTGAAGCCAGGTGATGAGTTGCACACTCCAGGTGGGGATAAGGGGCCCAGAGTCCCTAGGAAGGCAGAGCAGCAGCCCCTGAGACAGCCCTGCTTAGCCCCCCACCGTCCTAGGGCTCTGCATTTCACCTGTGCTCACCTCTGTCTCCTGCCTTCACCTTTTGACCCACAAGGAATGATTCTCCACCCAGCAGATAAAGTGATCTCTTAAAAACATCTGTTGGCCAGATGTGGTGGCTCATGCTTGTAATCCTAGCACTCTGGGAGGCTGAGGCAGGCGGATCACCTGAGGTCAGGAGTTTAAGACCAGCCTGACCAACACAGAGAAACCCTGTCTCTACTAAAAATACAAAATTAGCTGGGTATGGTGGTGCATGCCTGTAATCCCAGCTATTCAGGAGACTAAGGCAAAGAATCGCTTGAACCCAGGAGGCAGAGGTTGTGGTGAGCCAAGTTCGTGCCATTGCACTCAAGCCTGGACAACAAGAGTGAAACTCTGTCTCAAAAAAAAAAAAAAAAGGCCGGGCGCGGTGGCTCAAGCCTGTAATCCCAGCACTTTGGGAGGCTGAGGCGGGTGGATCACGAGGTCAAGAGATCGAGACCATCCTGGTCAACATGGTGAAACCCCGTCTCTACTAAAAATACAAAAAAATTAGCTGGGCGTGGTGGCACGTGCCTGTAATCCCAGCTACTCAGGAGGCTGAGGCAGGAGAATTGCTTGAACCCAGGAGGCGGAGGTTGCGGTGAGCCGGGATCGCGCCATTGCCCTCCACCCTGGGTAACAAGAGCGAAACTCCGTCTCAAAAAAAAAAAAAAAAAAAACACCATCTGTTAGGCTGGACATGGTGGCTCACTCCTGTAATCCCAGTCCTTTGTGGGGCTGAGGTGAAAGGATTGCCTGAAACCAAGAATTCAGACCAGCCTGGGCAACATAGTGAGACCCCAGCTCTAAAATAATTTTTTGTTTTTTGAGACAGAGTCTCACTCTATTGCCCAAGCTGGAGTACAATGTCGTGCTGTTGGCTCACTGCAACCTCTGCCTCCTGGATTCCAGCAATTGTCTTGCCTCATTCTCCTGAGTAGCTGGGACTACAGGTGCATGCCACCACACCCAGCTAATTTTTTTTTATTTAGTAGATACAGGATTTTACCATGTTGGCCAGGCTGGTCTTGAACTCCTGACCTCAGGAGATCCATCTACCTCAGCTTCCCAAAGTGCTGGGATTACAGGCGTGAGCCACCATACCCAGCCAACAATATCTGTTTAATTAGCCAGGCGTGGTGGCAGTTGTCCTGGAAATTTGGGAGGCTGAGAGGGGAGGATCACTTCAGCCCAGTAGGTCGAGGCTATAGTGAGCTATAAATCGTATCATTGTACTCCAGCCTTGGAGACAGAGTGAGACCCTGCCTGTAAATAAATAAATAAAACATGAGGTTGGGTTTGAGCATCTATTCCTGCTGAAAATTCCACAGGCTTCTCATACTCAAAATCCAAACTCCTTACAGTGATCCAGTTTGCCCTTGAGGCCTCCACCCCTGCCCCTGTCCCCCCCGACCCCAGTCTTAGTGGGCTGGCCTGGCTGTTCCCTCCAACAGCAATGCTCTGCCTCCATTGTTGGCCTTCTCTGCAGGGAGGGACCATCTGAGTACCTGCCTGTGTCTGCATGGCATAGCACACTGACGCCAGGCCTATGTGCATGCCCAGATGGCCAGTCACACAGCAGGTGCTCCCTCAGTGTTGGCCAACTGAGAGGAGCACCATCCAGTGTCCAGACACCGCCCCATGGCAAACGCCATTTGTTGCCTACTAAACGGTCACCTCCTTCCCTATGGGTGCCCACATTTTTCAGTGCTGGGCAAAGGCCCCTTGATCTTGAAGTTGTAGCCTCTTTATGTCCCAGGAGGGCAGTGACCAGCCTGACCCAGTCAATCCAGTGATTGGTTCAGGAGTAGCCTGCGACCAGGAGTCCTGGTAGTGAAAGACTGGGGCAGCCCTGGGGGTGAGGACCTTGCCGAAGCAGCCACAGGCCCTGACTGGACACTGGGCAGCTACTAAACCAACGTCTCCAGCTGCCTACCTGGAGAGCTCCAAGTGCAAGAAAATAAACCCTGCCTGTTGAAGCCACTGATAGTGAGGGTTCTTTTTTTTCCAACCAAAAGCCTTGCTGGAATGTGGCCTGTGAATGGTTTGTGTGGCGGTCTCATGTACCTGTGTGAGCCTGTGGTGTCAGACTGTGCTGGGGACCCTTCGTGCAACTGTTCCATCACTTTTCATCTGTTTTGGGGGCTGCATTGACCACACCCCAAATCTGCTGTCTTGGAGTCACACCCATAGAGTGGTGGTTTCCTTGGGGTGCCCAGCAGTCCCTGATGCTGGCACAAGGAGGGTCCTCATGCACTTGTGGTCCGAGTGGTGGCATTGACCCCAGAAGCCACTGTGATTCACAGTGAGGGCAGAGAGGAACTGAACTGGGTGTATGATCCCATTATCACATGGAAAGACCAAACTCCCTAGCAAGAACTAAATGAATACTAACACCCAAACACAGTTGTCAGAGACCTCCTCCAGCTCTGCTACTCCACTTCCTCTCACTTGGGTAGTGTGCATTGTGCATAACTGGGTTAATCCAATCAGTGTTTATGCACCAGCACCATGCAATGCTGGGTCATGGCGTTCTCCAAGGATACCCACCCTGCACTCGCCGTGCTTACAGTCTAGCAAAGGAGATGACCTTAATCCCAGGATGTCAGATGCACCTGAGATTTCAGTGTGATAGAAGTCACTACCTCTGGTAGGATAGGGTGTGTGAATTGCCTGACCAGGGACACCAGAAAACCTGAGGGTACTATAAATATTCCAGATCTTGAGAGGGCATTACATGATACATGCATACGAATCAAGCAATCAAGCCACACACGTAAAATGTGCATACTTTATGATGTCATTGTGTATTTTCTTTCTTTCTTTCTTTCTTTTTTTTTTTGAGACAGAGATGGAGTCTCACTCCGTCACCCAGGCTGGATGCAGTGACGCAATCTCAGCTCACTGCAACCTTCACTTCCTGGGTTCAAGCAACTCTCCTGCCTCAGCCTCCGAGTTCTGGGATTACAGGCACTCACCACCATGCCTGGCTAATTTTTTGTATTTTTAATAGAGACGGGGTTTCATCACGTTGGCCAGGCTGGTCTCAAACTCCTGACCTCGTGATTCACCCACCTTGGCCTCCCAAAGTGCTGGGATTATAGGTGTGAGACACTGCGTTTGGCCTATGTATTTTCTATTTCAATAACAATCTAACCATGATAAATGCTACAAAGGAAGGGTACCTGGTCTTATAAGCGCATAACCTAGAGGTGGGGGTGGAAAGATAAATGAACCAGTCAGAGATGCCTCCCATTGCCCGAGCTCTGAGGAGGGGTGTTCAAATGCACTCTGCACCCAACATTGGAAAGAGAAGCCGATTTTTCCACTCCCCTGTTCCTCTTTTGGTTTTGCTCTGATTTGTTTGTGTGCAGAAATGCTTGTTTTTTTAAATCATTTAGCTGTTTTAGCTGGATGCACCCTCCTCACACAGGCATGTACACTTATGTGTATGCACACGTGTATGCAAACAGAAATATGCATACTCACACACATACACGCACAGGCACTCACACATGCACACAAGCTATGCATACACACATGCACAGGCACATGCACACAAGCTTGCATATGCATGCATATTTGTGCTGACATACACACTGTTACTGTGGCCCCAAAAGCCTGCCACAATGTCCCTGCACTTTCCTTACTTCACTGCTACTGTTGATTTACAAAACAGCCCCTTTCCTGTGAGCCTAAGATAATCCATTCACCAGGCTGGCAGTCATCCATTCCCACAGAGCAGCTTCCTCAGGGAGCCCAGTGTCCTCTCAAAGGGGCTAAGTGTGTTTTGGAATGGGCAGAGCAAACAAACAAGTTGATTCTGTGGCTTCCCCTCAGGTGCGTTAGGAAGGAAGAGGAGATATCCGGAGCCCAAGTGACTGTGTGAATGACAGGATGAGGAGCGGCTCCTGCAGGGAAACCCTTCTCCCCTCCCCTTTCTCCTCCCTGTGGCCCCTCCTTGCCCGTGTGCTCACCTGTCCCCCAAGTGACCAGAAGGGGGAGTCCAGGGAACGTTTCAACAGAAGAATGTTTAAATTTCCCTCTGAATATTTTTAATTATGAAAGTAATGCATACTCATTGGAGAAACTCAAGCAATGTCCGCTCATCTCAGTCCCAGGTAGCCAATGCTATCAGTTTGGGGATGGAAGGGCGGATAAATGCCACATTCATGCAAATAATGTATTTTGGCCCCAGGTGTTGATTCAACTCTAACCTCACCTCCTGCTGCACCTTGGACACTGCCTCTTAGGTGTCTGATGTGTCCTCTCCCCTTTGCAACCCTGAGCCTGGTGCAGGGGTTCAGTAGTAATGAAGGGGGGAGTGCATTTATTTATGCCCCCTCCAGCCTCCTTGGCTCCTTTGTGTGAAGAAAGAGAGCCTTCCTTGTGGATGCAGCCATGCAGCCCCACAGCCACGAGCC